CCACACCCTCCGTTTATACAAACTTGAGTCTCCTTTGTCCAAAGATGCTCTAGGACAAATTTGGTCAAAATTCTTCTATTGGTTGAGAAGAAGAAGATTTTTAAAGATTTACCTATTTTCCCCCTATTTGGCCCCGCCCCTCTGCCCCCAGGGGGGTTATACCCTCCGTTTATACAAAACTGAGAACCCTTTGGTCAATGATGCTCCTGACCAAATTTGGTCAAAATCCTCTGAGCCATTCAGGACAAGTAGCATTTTAAAGGAAAAAGTTGACGGACGCCGGACGCCGGACGACGGACGCTGCACCATGGGATAAGCTCACTTGGCCCTTCGGGCCAGGTGAGCTAAAAAGTGGTTAAAGGAAAATATAAAGCATATTTTTACATAAATCTCAACGACACAAATTTAAGATAAATATTTTGTGTGATTTTTCAACAAATGTATGTTGGTGTACTCCAGGGTTCATTTTTTGAACCTTTGATGTTTATCTGAAATACATGTAAAAACGATTATCAGAACTATGTCAAGAAGTAATCAGCTATTATGTAATGGCCCAATAGGAGGATTTCGAATACATTGCCATGGATACCCTGTGCTACACAACAACTTTAATCATTTAGGTCTTAATACAGGTGTCGGACATAGGTGAAACCATGTTTATCATTTTGTTACACTTAACCGCAGTCATCGACAAGGTGACGTATATGATATTCGTCTAAAAGTTAGAAAAGTGTTGAGTCATAGAGAGGGTATCTATTTGATAAAAAAAACACTACTTAACAGGTTCAATTCAACGTGGAGTCATAGACAGCACAAGATCTTAGGTATTCCGAATCCATCAATCGAACTCTCTGAAATACACGCGCTTTTAGTCCACTGGATCATAATAACAAAATGAATCTGATAGGACATTTTTATCAAATTGAACAAAACCACACAATCAATTGTGAAAAATATGTAAATGCATATGTGGTTCTAAAAAGTAAACCAATGGATGTTACATTTCATGTCACATCAATACATCATGAGTTTCTTTCTTGAAATAACTTCCGGGTGATAATTAAGACATCTCAAACAATATGGAAATCCTTACATAAGCTGTATCGAATGAAGAACTATCAAGAATTAAGCTTTCTTATGGAGTTTCGTGGAAATTCGTAAGAAGATAAAGTCGCAATAGTATTGAAATTATTTATAACAAGTTATAAGAATTTTTACTTTTATCATCCTGAAATGGTAAAAAGTAAACCGGTCATGAGTATATGTGAAATTTTATCAAAATGTGATTTAAAATGAGAGAAATCAGACAAATGATTACNCCCCCCCCCCCCCCCCCCCCTGAACATGTTATTGGTTATATTTTGACCTTAAGCTTGGTCCCTCATCGCAATTGTGTTTGAGGTAACGTGATACCTAACGTTTCTTTGAAGAAAAAGAACATGAGAAATGAAGACGGTGGTTCGAGAACAAAGGTGTCACCCGCGTGTATCTAGACATAACTTCAATCTCAGAAATACCGGGATAATTCCACCCGCTGACAATGGGTTAAGTTTGTACGAACACCGATTGACCGTAGAATTTAACCTTATTCTGTGTCTTTGTGTTGGTGATTTTAGATATACAGTATATACTGTGTTTAATATACAGAATTATATGCTGTGATATAAGATTTAGAAATTGTAGAATTATCATGTGTCAGAAGTTTATATATTTTTTGCTGTGTCACTTTGTTCAGAAAACCACATATACACTACTTGCACTTCTTTCCTACGGAATGATGAACTTAAATACTATGACAACGGCAATGACTAAAATCGACACAGAGGAAACTTTCGCTCACGACATGTTTAAAAGCGAAAACATGATGGAACAATTTTCGAAAAAGAAGAAGAGAACAAGTGGACTTGCTGGTTTGTAGATTTATAAGTGGCTGCATGGTTTGAGAGTTACTTGGTGTGAGGGTATGCAGTACGAGACAAGCATAGTCATACACACCCTACATATGTCCCCTCATTTTGCAAGATCAGATCCAGGTCAAACATTTCTCTTCTCCGATGTATAGGTGTATTATGCGCAAAAATAAAATCCGTATTCTAGATCCAGTCAGAGTGAATGAACACATTCATAAATGTGTATAAACCATTTACCATGGTGTAAACAGACTGTATATTTCGTACAGGGAACTTTTGTTCTGAAACCAGAGTGTCCAGACAAATGCAGGGCTATTTATATATATTATTAGTGACTGTCCAAACAAATACGTCGGCATTGTACTCCATTAATAAGTGTCTAGACAATAGCAGGACTTTTTAAATGTATTATAAGTAACTATCCAAACAAATACGTCGGCATTTAGCTCCATTAATAAGTGTTCAGTAAAATATTTTTTTTGAAAATATTATCGTGGTGATGAAGCAGCCACAAAAGCTACAAATATCTTTTCACAACGACCAAATGTTACACAGAAGTATAAAAAGCATCAATATTGAAAAGATATAATTGTACTAGCATAAATAGGTGTAACAAGAGGTATTACTATATTTGTATAAATAGGTGTAACAAGAGGAATTACTATATTTGTATAAATAGGTGTAACAAGAGGAATTACTATATTTGTATAAATAGGTGTAACAAGAGGTATTACTAAATTTGTATCAATAGGTGTAACAAGAGGTATTACTATATTTGTATCAATAGGTGTAACAAGAGGGATTACTATATTTGTATCAATAGGTGTAACAAGAGGGATTACTATATTTGTATAAATAGGTGTAACAAGGGGAATTACTATATTTGTATAAATAGGTGTAACAAGGGGTATTACTATATTTGTATCAATAGGTGTAACAAGAGGGATTACTATATTTGTATCAATAGGTGTAACAAGAGGGATTACTATATTTGTATCAATAGGTGTAACAAGAGGGATTACTATATTTGTATCAATAGGTGTAACAAGAGGGATTACTATATTTGTATCAATAGGTGTAACAAGAGGGATTACTATATTTGTATAAATAGGTGTAACAAGGGGGATTACTATATTTGTATAAATAGGTGTAACAAGATGTATTACTATATTTGTATAAATAGGTGTAACAAGGGGAATTACTATATTTGTATAAATAGGTGTAACAAGAGGAATTAC